AGTCCATTTTATTAAAAGTTAACAATTCCATCAATTTGTTTTGGTACATGTTATATCAAATTTCATAAAAATGTTCCTCATTTTGACAAGTACGACATACCCGAACGTATCTGACATAGGTTTCAAGTAATAGTTTTGTATTGATTTTAAATTTCAATGTACGTATGTATATATAGGGATACGTTTTCAATTGCAGCGTAAAAATCATAGAAATCATACTATATACAAGATGCGTTAGATCGTCGACTACAGGGCATTGAAGTGCATTAGGGCGTCATAATTGTTTGAACTAATTTCATCTATCTTCTGACTAGGTACTTTTGATAAGCAAAAATCCTAATTGCAAAAACACTGGCATCGATAAATGAGGGTTAACACAACGAATTTCACTGTATATATTTGAGGGTTCACACAAAGAATTTCACTGTTTATATTTGAGGGTTCACACAAAGAATTTCAAAGAATATCACTGTATATCTTTTATTCTGATGAATAAAGTCAGTCAAACTGTGAACTGTGTGAAACTTTTACCGACTGCACTCCATTATTGATGGGACACAAAACAACCGTTGATTCTCCAAGTCAAGATGAGGCGATTGAACGAAACATATACTTACATAAAATGTTAGTAGTTTACAGAATACAAAATGTAGTTAACGATTGAAATCATTTTCATCAGTGTATAATTTTTTAGAATCGGTCAACGTTTTCACTGTCAAAAAATACAAACATTCACCATATACGTATTAATAATCAATACGGATAATCTCTATCTGTTTCCATAGCGAAACATGAAGCCGATTTTTGAAGACAAATGACTATCCATAAGGAAAAGTTTTGAAACGATCAGACACATACTGCTTTTATTGAAAGGCAAGTAAACGTCATTGTCCACCGAAACGCATGTCTTTGATGACTACTATAATAGCGCACGGCGCATGCGTATCATGTCACCAAATCCTTATGGATATCCATTTGTTTCATATTTTTGGCTTCATCCTGGCACCCGTTATGATCCGTATTGTTTATTAATACGTATATGACATTTACCTCTTCTAGATGCTACGCCACTGTTCAAATTTTGACTGTGATTTCGTTGTTTTCGATTTTTTTTTAAGTTGACAAAGTGGGAACAAAACAGGGATCTGACAGATCCTTAATATCTTTGATATTCTCATGCAGACTAAACCAAAACACTGCATATCATGCAGTATAAGGATTAAACAGCAGTGTCACTCCTTTCAGTTCTTCTAAAGAGTATGTTTTTGTTAAGGCATACAGTTCAGTTGTTGGTGACGATACAGTACTTTCAATGATTTCCTAATGTTGATATTTCATCAAAATTATTTTTAGAACAAGATCCCCAAACATTTATTAAATAGTTAATTGGACTTAGTATATGATGGTATATGTGAATAGAGTACTATATTTGCAATTTTCATATTGAGTTTGGGACATCTTCTCAATGCACCAATAATGGGAGATATTTTTTTGTTGAAAAATCATGTATTCAATTTTTCTGGTATTTATTGATAATGGGTTAGAGTGGAGCCATTTTGCAGATAATTTCAGATCGTTATTTATCCCAGTTTCTGAAATTAGAGGATTTTTGTTTTCATATATGTCGTCTGCATATACAGGGTGGCCCACGGTCGATGGTACCTTAGACGTATACGGAAAACGGTACATTGGATTATCCTGAAAATTTGGTAACTCTAATGAGCGTTTGTGATCTAACGATTCAAAATATTTTCAGCGATGCAGCGTTGCCACTTTTACCGAAAAGTAGCATCATCTTTGTTATTTCAAATGGAAAACCCTGCATTTTATTGCGTTTTAAGATCCTTCTCGAAGAGCTGATTTCATCAATGTATCACACTTGGGGTCTAGCAGGAATTATTACAGAGATAAAGGGGGTTCAAAATCGAGATTTTTCAAGTTCAGGAATTTTTTGTGTCGAAACTATTCATTTTCGATCAAAACGGCTTACATGTCCCTATATTAACTCTTGATTCACTATCTACTGACATTTAATTGGAACAGATACAGGGTGATCAAAATTCTGAATCTTGGACCATCCTGTATTTCTTCCAATTGAATGTCGGTAGATAGTTAATCAGAAGTTAATTTAGGGACATGTAAGCCGTTTTGACCAATGATGAATAGTTTCGACACAAAAAAATCCTAAAGTTGAAAAATCTCGATTTCGAACACCCTATATCTCTGTAATAATTCCTGCTAGACCCCAAGTGTGATACATTGATGAAATCAGCTCTTCGAGAAGAATCTAAAAACGCAATGAAATACAGGGTGTTCCATTTGAAATAACAAAGATGATGCTACTTTTTGGTAAAAGTGGCAACGCTGCTTCGCTGAAAATATTTTGAATCGTTGGATCACAAACGCTCATTAGAGTAACCAAATTTTCAGGATAATTCAGTGTACCGTTTTCCGTATACGTCTAAGGTACCATCGACCGTGGGCCACCCTGTATGGTACAATTACTCGCTAAACCAACTTTCGTGATATTTTGAATATAAAGCAGATACAGTATTGGTGCTAAAACAGATGCTTGTGAAACACCCTTATTTAGTGACAGTTTATGAGACTCATAATTAGCAGATTTGGTACTGATTGTCCTATTTTCAAGATATGAAGCTAAAATATTTCTCACAATGCCTCTGTCCCATGGATTCCAAGTTATCCAGAAGTATTGTGTGGTCCACTGTATCAAAAGCCTTTTTTGGATCAATGAAAACAGCTACTATATAATTCGTCATGTGTTCGATTCAAAACAATTTTTATCGCGTCTGAAGAGCCAGAAAAATTTGTTTCAGCCGCTATAAAAATGGTTCCGAATCGAACAGATCACGAATGTTTTTATGGTTATCACTTATAAGTTCAATGGTATTGTTTTTCTGACACGTAACAGGTCTTTGGTCTGATAATGTCCGTTGTGCTGAAACCGGTCACTGTTTGATGTTAGTTTGTTTTTCCTTCATGAATACTTTGGGGCCATTCTCAGAATGGATGATTTCCACAGTTTTGGGTGGTTCAGATTTGATAGTGAATATTTTGAAGATAATCTCTCCATCGTTTTAATTGGTGAAATACTATATCTTACATGATTTGATATATTCCCAAAGGCGTCGATATGAGGGGGGGGGTTGTTATGGGGGCAATATGCCTTATACTCACTGTTAAGAAAGTGACAGCATGTTGAAATTTATAAAAATGAATCCTGTTTCCCCATAACTCCATGGGGAGAGCAAAAAATCTTATGATTGAATACTTAAGAAGGGCTGTTCTCTGAAACAGGCGATATTCTAATGTGACGTATTAGTTGTATGTAAAGAGATACATTAGTAATGTTTGTACGCAACTGTCTTTTGTATGATTTTCTCTCGTGCGTTTGCTGATTCTTCATTCAATATTGAAAAGGAATAACTTCACAAATTTTGAATATAGTTCCATCTTCAAAGTGCAATATCCAGTGTCCACGGTACATTTTTGACAACGTTCCATTAGGAAATCTCAAGAAAATCTGTGAAGTAATTGTTCAAAATTGAAAGAGTAATTTGAGAACTTGAAAAATAACCCAGACAAAGACAGAATGGCATACATGTTGTCTTTGAATATTTTTGGAGCAAGGTATTTAGTAATTCCGTACTTTGTTAGATATGCAGCTTTCTTTAGAAAGTTATGGTGAAAAAAGATTTTTTGTGTAAACTTCCGACACCCTTCAACTGTCCTAACAAGCGATTGAGAATCATGTTATGATTTTCCAATCAGAACGTTGGAAAGAATGTCCACTTTATTTCCATGGCAAAAATAGCACAATGATTCATGTTACTCATGAAGAAAGAGAAATATAAATAACAATTCTTCCAAATCTGATTTGGCAACATTATGGCCACCGATAAACTAACCATATTTTACTAGATAGAGGTATTTTTTGTAGACAGGTCAATGGGGAAGTTTCCTTCAGATGAATTTTCATAAAATACTTTCGGAACTCTCCAGTTTTATGTCCACGCTGTACAGAATGGCGACCGATAAAGTCCAAGTCGTTTTCATTTTCAAATTAAAGCAATTTCTAATTTTCGAGGCGGCAAATTGTGACGTAAATTATGAATCTAGTCTGAAATAGCTGATGGTGAAGAATACAGCTAGCGAATAGTTAACGAAAAGCTAACGAATGAAAAACGAATGAAAAAAATAGAAGAAGAAGTCAAACTGGTAAACAAAAACATACATAACCACAAATGCACTTGGAGCAGCAATACAGAAGGTAGTTGGCTTCATTCTGACATGTTATGGTTTTGTTATTTATGCATTGAAATCTCGAATAGAGCTCGATCCTAAACGAAAATATCATTGAACAATGAATCACAATCGGCTACATTCAATGATACTATCCTCCCTCATTTACTGTCATCGGTCAGAATAGGATGAAGCCGACACCCATGGCTCCTTCATCTTGTTGTGCCTGTCAGTATTTTGAGTGGTGTGGGAGGACTCGATGTTTTAGGCGCTTTTGCAAGATATAATCTGCAACTTTCCTAGAAAATATATCCTTTTTATTAAGGAACGAATTCATGAGAAAAAAATTACTGAGAAGTTATGAATAACATTGTAATATAATGATAGTGAAAAATTATTGATACAATCGCAAAATATCATAATTTATCCTTATTAGTAATCAACTTCATTCAGCCAATGAGAGGTTTATGGGAATTATTCATAATACTTGACAAAATAGGATTAAAGAACCTATTATATCCCATATTGCTGTTATGATATAGTTATTATGCATTCAAAGAACAATTTCTGGAAATCTAGACATATTATTATATTGATGATGTCGGCAACGTCGTGCTGGCACAGGGAATCGTATTCTAACTCTGTGTGAACGTGGATTTTCAGAAAGTACGTCATGGGAATGGTGGAGGAGCCATGTTCCTCTTTTTTTTTCTGATGTGGAATTTACTTCGCAGTGAGATAAAAACCTAAATATAGGAAACTTCCCCATTGAGTATAGTTAGTTTGAAAAACGAAGGACCCGAAGAGTTGTTTGTTTTTAATTCTCAGTAATTCACAATCCACCATTTTGATCTGATAGAAAATTGAATATTGTGTTGGGCGCTGGTTCTGTTAACATTTTACAACTTTGTTGCCAACCTCATAACACAAAATATCTTGACTCCTGAAAATATGGTTACATCAACATTTCGTCGAACGTTGGCAGGTTGATTCCTGCATCGATTCATGTGCTTTAGATATCGCTGGAATTAAAAATGTACCAGAGTCAGTTAGAAACTATCAGCAGTACTGCCTATATGTTTTTTGTTATATGTAAAAAGTGATCCTACAATTTGTATGAAAATAAAAATAATTGATTTGAAATACTTTGGAATTTCCTCATCATTTCCCGCTGCCAACCATCAGTATGGTCCAGTACATTATGCTGAAGACGAAAAAGAAGGATGGGAACACTATTCTTGATACCCGATCTATTTCCTTCCACATGATTTTGATTTTCCCATTGTCCTAAAAAAAATTAATCAATATTTCAAGAATTCAAAACTTATCTGCATATATGGTATGGTTTCTTATCCCATTAGAACAGGGCCATTCTAACTTGATGTTTCATGTATGCGGCAAAAAAACCCGATTTTCATAGAATTTAAAATGTGACAAGTAAAAATAATATTCTGTGTGTGGTCTTATTCGATGTTCTTGAACAAGTCCCATATTTTAAGCTGAATATAACAAAAAAAATGACAAATCAACAGAATGGGGGGTTTTGTACTGAGTCACGTGTTTTTTAGTTGCTGCTCTAGTGACTTCATAGCTGTTTTGTCGAGATTATCAATCATATTGGATTGTTTTTCAACAGTATAAAATTTCGATGAGATGATTAATTTTAAGATAATTAGAAAAATAGAGGTTCTTGATTGACTTAACTAATTCTGTAATATCTATATAACTAATCATTTTGGCAACTTTTTTAAAATGTTCCCAACATCACGAAAAATATTGCTGTAGCAGTAGATAATTCGAAGTGATAAATTGTCGTGTCATTTTGGAAAATTGTTTGCAAGTACAGAGGCCTGCGAAAAAAAGGGACAGATAGATAATAAATAGGCATTCTGAGAAGCATTTTTGAACATATATTGATTCTCCACGAATATACCAACGTTATTCTGAGAAATAGGTACTAGAATAAGTTAAAGTGTTAAAGTGAAGTTGAACAGACTGATCGTAGATGCCCATATATTATTATGCAGTATTATTTTAATTTGTGACAAGTTTGGTTTTAAAATATCACTCAAAAACGTCTGTGCCTATCGAACATATATACCTAACTACGTTTTTTTTTATTTGTTGGGAAAGCCAAATGTTTCTTCATGTAGAATTTATTTTTTGTTGAATCGAAAGAATACATTTTGGGCCCTGAAAAGTATGACACATGATACAAAATTAATGAGAAATTCTTACCGTTTTCCAGTACAATTGAATATAATTGTCCTGTCTCATGTTTTTATATCTGAAATTATAAATGTACTTTGGTGATGGCGGTGGACTGGTCCATTGCTGCAAAGATCTATCCTGAAAATATAGTTTCATCTTTTAGTATCGATTTTATTCAGATAGTATTCGACCATCACTCAGTAACTTGCCTTGGTGATCTTGGATTCTTTTGCTTTGAGAATATTATATTTTCCATGTAGGACTTTGACTATAACAAATTCTCCTAGCGAAGCAAAAACAGATATCATACAGCCAGCCATCCATAAATCCAAAGCCTAAAAATGTACACTAGTGTTTTTTGAATTTATACAGTCAGATGCGAAGAACATGTTGCGATTTGTAGCGCTCTTATTGCAGGGATACCGATTTTAAATGTCATGAAGTTTTGTGTAAAATTTGGTTGAAGCGATGAAGAAGAGCCATGAACCACTGTTCCATAAAAAACAAGAGTCGTATTATGAATACAAGATGCCTCAGAATCAGAAAATTGTGACGAAACAAAGTACTTTGATGGGCGACATTTGAAAAAATTCCAAAAACACGTGAGTTTTGATTTCAGAAGCCTCATCTCATGATATTCATATGAGAAATGTTACGTCATCGGTGTTGGCGTAAAGACGTCCCAATCAGCCAAAGTACGTCTTAAAGGCGTCTTTAAGACGTACATGTCGGGACATAAGTACGTCTTAAAGACGTACATATTACGCCCAAGAGACGTCTTTAAGACGTCTTTAAAACGTACATTTTCCACTAATATGTACGTCTTTAAGACGTCTTTTTTAGGTGTTTTTGGTCCATGACCTCAAATTGATCTCTCAAATTACGGAAAAAGCACATAGTTTCAGTTGATTTTCACCTGTGCACTGAAGTTAGCAACAAGTGCAGAAAAGCAAAGAAAAAGGGAAATGAACGACTTCATCAAACGGTAGACACAAGCGGTCACCCATTCAAGTACTAACCGCGCTCTTTGTTGCTTGACTTCGATGATTATACCATATTCACTGCTTCTGTTACTCTGTTTGTTCTATATATCACATAACAAGCTTTCACTTAGTTTAACATGTCCTTGTGTCTGTTTGTAATGAAAACGTGCAAGTTAAATTTGACTCACTTTAAATCGTCCGATTGATTTGAAATTTGGCAAGTAAATATTATTCCGGTGACAATTCGTTGTGATATTATTATTGAATGGAAAAACAGAATGGCGGATTCAATATGGCGGACGATTTTCTCATTGATTATGTTCCGATTCGAATCAAAATTCAATATTCAAGATGGTGAATCCAATGTGGCATATGGTTTTCTGATTATGGTCTGATCTGATTCAAAATTGGCATCTGAAGGATTTCGAGATCAGAGATTATACTTCCTTTTGTCGAAAATGAAAAATCCAAGATGTCGGCTTCAAAATGGCGGACGAAAAAATGCAAAAACATCACTTTTGTTGAAAATAAAAAAAACTGAACAATTGGAAATAAAAAACGTGAAGAGATGACATTTTGTTTTTCTTCAGAAAATAAACTCACATTATTGTTCTATAAGTCGAATTGACGTACTGGAATGTACGTCTTTAAGACGTCTTTTATACGACATGGGAGGAACGACGTGGATACGACCTAAAATGTACGTCTTAAAGACGTAAATTCGTGTACGTCTTTAAGATGTACATGGATTTACATCTTAAAGACGTACTTTATACGTCCCTGGACGTAAAGACGTAAGTAAGTCGTAAAATGTACGTCTTTAAGATGTCTGGTGCTGATTGGGGTAATGGACGATTTTTTCAAATACAAATAGGGGGCATGTGACACCTTTATTGAAAGGTCTACCGATCGTCTATTCAACAGTCAAAATGTTGCATAAGAAGATTGAAATTAAAATGGATTATCATGTGATTAATTGAATCTTGCAGAGGTCTGCTACTGAGAATTGAACATCGAAGGGTCGTCTATAGTTAAAAAAATACGTCGAAAAAAAAGTTCTAAACTCTAGTTTTTTTTTTTTCGAAAGTCGTCTTGTTTTGAAATGAATTTATTCCATACATTTGCATCATACTATATATCAGTATACAACAAGAGATAATGTGCTAATGTCGATTGACCCTTCACATCGATACTTTCATAGAATTAGATGATCACGGCAGAGAATACCTAAATAGATGTTTTGTGATTAATGTACGGCCAGTAAAATATGAATTGTAAGAATTGTATTATGTTCATGTTTGCAAGGTTCCTACATGAATAGATATCAGAGATCGAGGGTAGAAATTATATGCAATGATTTCAAATATCATATACAATTTATTCGATCCCGTCCACAAAATGTCGATAACGTCCCGGACGTTCAGACCTAAATCCAACCTAAAATGGACGTCCCCAGAACGTCGAGTGCTATATGAGTGATAATAGTCAATTCAATTTCAGAAAGCGTCAATTTTATTTCAGAAAGTGTCATTTGAATTTCAATTGATATTTTCTGAAATACGATTGACACTTTCTGATATTCATTTGACTATTCTGATATATACAATTGACGCTTCCTGAAGTACAAGTGACTATTCTGAAATTCAATTGAATATTCTGAAGTACAAGTGATTATTCTCAAATACAATTGACGTTTTCTGAAATACAACTGGAAAAGGTGTAGATGTTGCATGTTTGGGAAAGGTGCGCTGAAATAAAGTTACTTGATCGATCTCTCCCTCTCTTGTGATATAGCTGAGACAAGGGTGGTTTACTGGGGAATCGTCCTTATATTTACCTTAACGTAAGCTACTGCTGGTATATCCGACCTCAGACCAGTAAACATCGTGACCAGGGTTAGCAGACATGTCACCAAGAGCGTCACTCTGGCAGGAATGGCATCCAGGTCCAGCCAAAAACTGAACCAGGATAGCACCACCACCAGAGTCGAAGGCGCAAAAGTTTGAATCAAGTGATGGCCGATCTGCCTTTCGAACTGGAAGTACACGACCAACCTGGAAAATTTTCCTGCAAAGTAAAACGTACAATCAGCAATTAATACAGCCAAATGGTAGTTTTACGTTACAAAAAATCCAGTATACAGGGTATGTCACGACGAGCTTGCACTATATCTTTACATCGAGAATCAGTTAGGAGAAATCCATGAAACTGTGCATGCCTATATTTCAGAATACGCTCTCTTCATTTAAAATATTTTCGACAATGCAGTGTTGCTCTGCTTCTACGAGAAAGTAGTAGCAACATTGATATGTCGAATGGAACACCCTGTATTTTATCGCATTTTTAGATTCTCCCTGACGAGCTGATTTTATCGATGTATCACACTTGGGGTCTATCGAAAAAAGATTACAGAGATATAGGGTGTTCAAAAACGAGATTTTTCAACTTTAGGATTCTCTTGTGTCGAAACTATTCATTATCGGTCAAAACGACGCACATGTCCCAATCTCAACTTTTGATTCACTATTCACTGATATTCAATCGGAACAGATACAGGGTGGTTCAATATTCAGAATTCTGATCACCCTGTATCTCGATATTCCCAGTCTCCGAACCCACCTGAAGGATGCACTATTGCCAAATACTACATTTGGTGCGAAATTTTCCGAAGAATATACTTTTCAGAGAGAATGTTTATTTAGGCTGAGTTAGGTTAGATTGTTCAGAATAAGTAGTTTCCCTTGTTCCCTCAAGTAATTGATCGAAAAATATACTTTATAGGAAGGTCAATCTAGCGAGTTAGGTTTTGAAAAAGTAAGTATAGTCTCTTCTGCTCTCTCAAGTGAATTTCAGAAAAATATATTTTCTAGGAAGGAGGTTGATTTAAGCTGACTAAGGTTAGATTGTATTGAAAAAGTAGTCTCTTTTCTTATGCAGAATAGTATATTGTGCAAAAAGTGGGGAAAGTTTAACTTTTCGTGTGTTTGCATCACTTGCCCTTCAGGCTCGTGCCACAAACATTAACACTGGTGAGAAAAAGTACTTTTCCCTACATGTTGCACACTATACTTTTTCTACAACTGCACTTATCCAAAGAATCCAAGTAAAATAAAACTTATTGGTATTAATTTTATAATGTGGCACTATGCCACATTGAATATTGTGACCGAAGAGTAGACGCCTTTCCTAATTCCTCAAAGTATTTCAAGAAGTACACTTTCCGAAAAAGATTTTATTCCTGTATTTTTTCAGATTCCATCAATTTTTCGTACATGCCGATTCATACTTTTTTCTTGAAATTTCCGGAAACAAATCCAATTTTCCCAGCTTTTTCCATTATCTCTGTCTTTGGCGGTGTATTAATCAAAATCGTCACATCTCGGGGTATATACATCATATTATTTATTATGTATTGTTGGAATAATATTTGATGGAAACTACGATTTCTATCAAAAGCACTAATGAGAACTACCCTAAAGAATTAAAAAAAAAACTTCTGACGGTTGTGACTACTATTCAAAGCTGAACACCAGCCAATGTATGTGGTGTTGGCAAAGTGCCGTGAGAAAAAAAGATTTCTCACAGTATGAGCAATACATAGTTTTGAAACTAAGTAAGCTATGAGAAATGCGCTACTTTTCATAACAGTAGTAAAAAAAGTATATTTTCCATCCTTATATTACGTATTCGGAATTCAGAAAGCCATAGAGGGAAATGCAATAGCTAGTTGGAAACAACGCGATGTGGGAGTAACGAAATGTGGGCACAAAGCAGCGCACCCTTTTGCATTTTTCATCACATGGCGTTTCAAAAGTATTCAGTGAATATCTACTTCAGGAGCCCTCTTTGAAGAGGCCTAGGAGCCATTTTTCGACTCATGTTTATTATAACTTTTCTTCCTATTTTTGTCGAGGAAGCTGCTGGTGAAGTTTGGCAGGCTGATTTAGGGACACCCTGTATAGGACAAACGAATTTTAAGAGCACTAGATTTCACAATAATGTCTCAATGGCTGTCATTTCCTGTTCGATATGTAGATATATATCATGTATAGCTGCACGGTGCAGCCTGCACCCTATATTACATACTTATTTGTCATGAAGTTGTACTAACGGTTTTTATCCTACCCTGTATACTTCATAAAAATATGAATTGAGAAACTTTACCATTCTTTTCCATTGTATACTCCTGAGTTTCTTCCAGAGTTAGTGGCAAAATGTTATATTGAAGAAGTTTGAGCTCTGGACTGAGAGTAACACCAGGTCCTGACCATTGTAACATCATTTTGTTACTGTTATAAGAAACTGAAAACAAGAGAGTCGTGAAATTCTGATATACAGGGTGTTTGGTTCACCGACGTATATCTGAAAGGGGGTGATAGTTGAGAACATTTCGAACATATTTTACCATATATATACTATTATACAAAGTGTTTCCAATTTCGAGATATCATCGTTCTTTAAAACATTTTATCTGATTAAATCTCTTTTCTCTTAGAAAGTTGAATACGCATTTCATCGATACTGAACACGAAATGGGATCTAATGTGATAAAAACATTTTTTGGCTCGTTAGAATTCAAAAAACGATTTTTGTAACTTCCAATTTTGAATTTATAAGCTATTATTTCTCGAAAGATGTAACACTTTGAATAATAGTATAAAGTATATATGGTCAAATTTGTTCAAAATCACATAACCTACCACCTCCTTCCGTATATACGTCGGTGAACCAAACACCCTGTATATGAATACGTCACATTTTGCAAAACGGAAGTGATCCAACCTTCGATTTCCAAACGGTACATCCTGTATTTTTCCATAGTGTGGTTCATTTTTCATTTCTGTATACTCTGGACCTATACCTACTAAATATTTATTTCATTGAATATTAAATGGTGAAAGATGTGGCATCAATATTAACTCGTCAATTTGCTTTTGAAAACAATTCAAAAAGAATCAAAATTAAGTTTAACGGTTCTGTAATTTCGACCCGAAAAAGATCCAACTGGTATGTGAAACGATATTCTGAATCCATAAATGTAAATATATACAGGGTGTTCCGTTTGAAAATCAAGAGCAGAGCACCAAATGTTATGTTAAACCGCTCAAAAGGGGTAGCATTGTCCTCGTTTGGCAACAAGATATACAGGGTGTTATGAAATTCGACCAACGCTTCACAGATGATATCTCTTGTGATTTGATGAAGAATCAAGAATCAAGTGGTTATAGTTCTAAAAATACGGTGTATTGAACAAGTAAATTTTTAAAAGTGTCACTTTTATATTTAAAAATTTGGAAAATAGAAATAAGCATCCTAGCTTTTCTTCTAACATTCAAGATTGGAATGAAATATTCTGAATAATGATGATTCATACGGAATGAGAAATCTCTGAACTGCAGATAGAACACACTAAAATATTGGGATTTAGCATTACTTGTCTAATAAGAATGTTGGTGGTTTAGGAGATACAGACTGCTATAGGGGAAGATTTTATTTCAACATTTCTCAATAACTTTGTAAGTTTCAACAACATGAAAATGAAATCTTGTAGACTATCTCTAACAACGCCAATAAGTAATAACAAACAGAATTTTAAAGTAAATGTTCGAGTTTAAATCAAATTATCTGCATCATTTCTATAAAGCATGTTTGGGTTGAATCTTCATATTTTGTTGTTTACTATCTGTGGTTCAGAGATTTCCCATTCTCAATGAATCACCCTGTATGTCGACATGAGAATTTATTTGGGCCTGATGAAAATCTATCGAATGTGGTCCTGATGACAGTCATGTTTTTCGAAACACGAGTTAAGCCACAGTGTTAACAGTTGTCGTTCAAATTTCGAACCATCCTGTATGTAGACTAAGTAGAAAAAATCAATTTTTCATAGACTAATATATGGGTAGTCTGTATAATACCTACAGCTCTCTACAGTAATAGGACACACTTGTGTATCCATGGGATAGTGTTGAAATTCCATTTGACAAGCTACTATAGCATGCATCCTTGCGGCATACCTGATTGTCTTGTTCTTGAATAGTGTCACTGATGAAAATTTGTGTGTAAGTGTTGCTATTTCTAAAACATAAATAAAACATGATCCATTATCAGAGCATATTATTGAACAATTCCAGAAACATGTATGTTTTCAATTTACCCGATGATATAATATCACGAATCAGTTATTTATCGTGAGAAATAGGTAGCTCTTTATACAGGGTGTTTCACAGGTAAAGGGAAATATTTCAATGGTAGATAGGGGTCACCAAGGTGGTTCTGAAAATACCATATTTGATAGGTCTTAGAGTTTTCATAACGGAGATACAGGGCGATTTATCGATTTCGAATAATTATTCATTCGTCTATAAGTATTGAACTACCCAGTATATTTTTCTAAAATCTGGTATGGAGCTTAAACTTGGGACGTTGAATTCATTCACCTATCAGTCGAAGAGAAAATCCAGGTTCGGCTTCAGGAAAAATTCACATTTATTCGAAATATTAAAATAACACACTGTATGTAATAATTGACAGAGTTCATCAAAGAAATCGTAAAGAGGAGAAAAAACTAGACTGGATTTGATGCTTTTTGTTTTCCCGCCATCAATTCTCATCGTAACAATCATAAACAGAAAGCGGAAAGTATGTCAATTTGAAGATTATTGAAACTATGAAACCAGTGTCAATTTTGATAATTCGATATATTTTAGTCAAAAAATCGCTCGAAAGAACTTTCTAAGTCTCACAGTTTTTATAACGGAGATACAGGGTGAATTATCGGTTTTGAATAATTATTCACTCGTCCATAGGTATAAAACTACCCAGTAACATTTTCTCAAATATGGTATGTAGCTTATTGGGACGATCGATTCATTAACCTATCAGGCGGAATTATAATTCGATAATTCACCCTGTATCTCTGTTATAAAGACTATTAGACTTTTCCTGAAGCTGAACCTGTATTTTCATTCTGCCTGATAGGTCAATGAATCCATCGTCCCAGGTAAGCTCAATACCAAATTTGAGAAAATATGACTGCGATGGGTAGTTTAATACTTATGGACGAGTGATAATTCACCCTGTATCTCTGTTATAAAGACTGTGAGACTTTAACAAGAATATATCAAATAATCATAATTGAAAGTGGTTTCATAATTTTAATACTCTTGAAATTGACATACTTTTAGCTTCCTGTTTATGATTGTTACGATAAGAATTGGTGGCGGGAAAACAAAAAGCATCAAATCCAGTTCAGTTTTTCCTCCTCTTCACGATTCCTTTGATGAACTTTGTCAATTATCACATACAGTGTGTTATTTTGATATTTCGAATAAATGTAAATTTTTCCTGAAGACGAACCTGGATTTTCACTTCGCCCAATAGGTGAATGCATTCAACGTCCCCATTTTAAGCTCCATACCAAATTTTATGAAAATATACTGGGTAGTTCAATACTTATAGACGAATGAATAATTATTCGAAATCGATAAATCGCCCTGTATCTCCGTTATGAAAACTCTGAGACCTATCAAATATGGTATTTTCAGAATCACCTTGGTGACCCCTATCTACCATTGAAATATTTCCCTTTACCTGTGAAACACCCTGTATAAAGAGCTACCTATTTCTCACGATAAATAACTGATTCGTGATATTATATCATCGGGTCCCTGTCAAGGGAGGAAAGGTATACATTTCCTCCCTAGTGTGAACTACGATGCCGACGCGTATCGGAGGGCATTGAACCATTATATAGAAATACAAACTCTAAAATCGTCATTTTTACTGCAGAGGAATTGAACCTAAGCCTGGACCTAAGTTCAGTGCCACCACAGTATATTATCCTAGAATAATATACTGTGGTGCGAGAATTCAAATTGTTGAGCGTCAAGCTGGTGAAACTGCCCGCGACGTGCCTATAATTTCTACAGATAAAAAAATAAGTTGAATTTTTCATTAATTTCGGTTAATGAAATATTTGAAGTTAAATGAGCACTACAAATCTTGGTATCTTTGTACAATATAAAACAGATTTCGAAAAAACCCGACCTTTGACAAGGTATATGCTGATGTGTGATGAACTCACCAAATCAGAATTTGATTACCCTTGCATATGTTTCGAATTCAATCAAAGATCGCAACTAAGAAAAACTTTATCCAAATGTATGAATAGCATTGCAAATATTGACTATACAGGGTGTTTCAAAAAACCTAACCCCCTTGCTAGGGTAGTTAGAACATTGCAAAATAAGTTGGGTTTGCTCAGTGAAAAAATGTCGTAACGGCATCCGTTTTCATGATACAGGGTGTTGAAAAAATTATTTTTTTACACATTTTTCACGATTATTCCGAAACTACTGGCAACATTGTAATGAAATTTTGTATGGATGTTTCTTGAAATCAGACACATCGCATGAATTTGTTTTTATATCTGACTCTCATAGAGGGCGCTAGTTACACGGTTCATACCGAGAAGTTTAGAACATAACTTTTTTGAGGTTAAATTTTTAAATCCAAATATGATATGAACTTGAACATCCTTCAATTTTACACCAAAAAGGTACTCTTGGTGAAACTCGATACAATATTCCTTTTTCGGAATATTTCGATTCGAAAATAATGGAGTAATAGTTCAATTACCTATTTTTTCAGATTCAAAAGCAATAAAATCATTCTTGTACTGAAGTTATTGATGGAACAAAGAAGCATAATAGAAAATAAAGTGATATTTGTCTAGAAACATGAAATATTGAATCAGTTAGAGTAAGTGTTCAAAATGTCCTACGTTTCGAGGAATACACGATTCTATATTCTTTTTTTATGGATGAATTATTCTTCTGAACAGTTGAGGATCAGCTGTTAGGTCATTTGAGTGATGTTCATAAGAGTTTTGCATCAGAAATGTATTTTTGTTTTCGGTTTTTTACCACTTCATCATTTTCAAATCGAAATATTCCGAAAACGGAACACAGTATCGAGTTTCACCAAGAGTACCTTTTTGGTGTGAAATTGAATGATGTTCAAGTTCACATCAAATTTGGATTGAAAAATCTAACCTCAAAAAAGTTATGTTCAAAACTACTCGGTACGAACCGTGTAACTAGCGCCCTCTATGAGAGTCAGATATAAAAACGAATGCATGCGATGCGTCAAATTCCAAGAAACATCCATACAAAATTTCATCACAATGTTGCCAGTAGTTTCAACATAATCGTAAAAAATGTGTAAAAAATATTGTTTCAACACCTTGTATCTTTTTGTTACTGAGCAAACCCAACTTATTTTGCAATATTCTACCTACACAAGCAAGGGGGTTAGGTTTTTTTGAAACACCCTGTATATACCTGTAATGGTTGCTAGTGGGGAGAGCCTCAGCTGATAAAAACCTATCTGCGATCGACAATATCTCAATCTAGATTGCCAAACTTGGCAACTTTGTCAATCGAAAAATAAAACCGAAAAATATTGATTTTGTTAACCTTATAAAAGAGTTTGCCAATTCAAAGGCCAGAGGAGTGAGATATATTAGTTTTTAGGGGGCGCCGTAGAATTCTTGCCCAGGTCGTAGTGCTAAATCCGGCACTGCACTTATCATTAGTTCTTTCGTAGAAGTCTAATTTGAGATACTAATTATGAACGTAGAACCTACCAACAACTTTGGAGTTCAAGAAATACAAATCGGGCTGCCACAGATTTTCGAAAAATTGAGATGGTAGCGTTACAGAGTCATCTCCTAATTCGAACATCTCTTCAGGAATCTTTATTCTTGCATCTTGCCACTCTTGTTTTATGACCATGTCCATGCTGGAAAAACCCTTTCTATCATTGAGGAAGAAAGAACATAGGTACTTATATAGTAAGTATGCGTAGATGGCAAATTCAAGATAGGTTGAGAATCACCCTTTTTCATCAACTCCAGTCACTGAGACGTGCCAAACAAGGAAACAGAGAAGCCAATTGCAAGATTCATCTTTCAACTAAGCTATAGATGCGTGGAAAACATTTTCTGTTCAGAATTATAATTGCGAGATTTTCTTGCAATTTAGGGCTGAATCACCAGATTATAATTTATTTGAAATCAGTCTAATTGTCAGAATGATCTAGCAATTATAAATTTAAACCACTTCGCATTATGCTCGTTCTGTGCCTTCCAATGTAATAATATGCATTAATATTTTTTACCGAAAATCCATATCTTCGACGTTTATGGAATTGATATCGACCACTCTCATGCTGAAATCCACTTCGATCGGTTTTCCCATGATAGTCGGAGGTCTTATTTCTAAAAAATTACAATAACAATAAAGTGATGTTCATCCTAAAATAAACATTAGTAGATACTGTAAAAGTGCTATAATTTGCCTGGTGGGGACAACTTGGTATACGCGTCATGATGATAAGTTGAATCAAAAATCCTGAATTTAGCAACACCTCAATATTCTGCAGATGTTGAGGGTAAGAGGGTTTGAAACATAATTTGCTGTCTTGACTCATGCGCATTGTCACCAGATACCTAGATGCGTTTTTAACAATTGCACAATCATTCTCGTGAAAATGAAAGTATATTATGTGGGCCTATGGGTAAATTATTCTTGATATATATATATCTCTTCAGCAATATCTATCTTACTGATTAATACATAAATGTGAAAATGATATTTCGAAATTGTCATCAAAACTATGATTTTTATCTATAACATGATTATGTTTAGCGTGATGAATTTGTTTTCTAAAAAAAAAAAAAACTCAAGTGATGTTTGTAAATTCAGTGGTTAAACGTTTGTCCTCTCTGACCAATGTATATCCTGGGACAAGACTCACAGTTAGGCTATTTGTATAATCCTGATATTTCTAATCTTGAAGTTCTGCCTTTATCATATTCTGTATACAAGGTAAACTGATATACAGGATGTAATATAATGTTATATGTATATATCAACAAGTGACTGATAATATTCAACAATCCGAAATGATATTTGAATTGCTTTTTAAGGGAGTTTCTCAGAAATAATATTTTCATCAAATCAACGTTATATCCGTTGTTCTGTTTTATAATATTGAATTCTTCATTGAAATTTTCCTCTGATAGGACGTAAACGGTTCAACTTGGTGAAATTCTGATATATATAACCTAGAACCTGCCGTACAGACCCATCTGTTTTATGTATAGGGTGGAACAATCATGTGAGATTCAAATGAAATAGGTATCCATCAAAACTGAAACATTTTGGGCAAAATATGGCATTTTTATGAAAAAAAAAAGTCATGCTCCTACCTTTCAAGTAATTTTCAGGAATTAATTTTTTAGTTTTATTTTGCGAATCTGGATTCCTCGGTTTTGGGACTGATGTATGGCCAACTGAGATTAAAACCATCCTGAGAAACATAAGAGTAGGTCTGGTAGAGGTGTATGAAACATATGACTGACAGACTGACAATGATGTATTCCATTCAATACTCACTGATGGATAGCAAACACCAGCAAAACTTTCAATACCAGATTATACGCCATGTTCGAACCTCAATATGCACTTTTATTTCAGTAATATCCTCGAGTAATACCTAACCTATATAGCGAATTCACATTTAATTATTATTTTTTGAATTTTTCATGGCAACATATGGATTACCAGGAACCATGATGTTCAATCTACCACGATGATGATTCCAGAAAGAATATACTATTAGATTTGCTTGGTACTACATTTTTCACTCGTGTCACACCAAAACTGCCTCTGGTCTAATGATCTAAATGTTCAAATATGGCGAATTGCGGAAATAATCCATTATCATTCGACATAGATGCACTCGAATTACGAGTAAATTAAGTCAAGATAACGAGAATTATGTACACCGAAAGTACAGAAATCATTTGTGGAAAATGAAAACTCATTTTGCCTACTACCAATATGTAATGTGAAACATTACGACACTGATTTTAGTATCGTAATGAGCTAATTTACCGCGCTAGTGCGGTAAAGTGAAAAAAAGTATAATTTACCAGCAAAATAAGCCAATAAAGTTTTCACTTATAATATCACGAGAGCTTCAATTATTTCCGGAAATTTCCCGGATATTAATTGAAGCTAAACTGGTATTCGGTAAGAACATTCACACCAAACATTGTCGATTTCAATAACACTTAGATGATTCAGTTGAAAATTATGGTTGTTTGTGATGAAATGTAAGAACTAACGTATACAACATGTGCGGTTTTTTGCAATCAATTTCGTGATAACGAGATAAGAATTATGTCATCCGATAATAATTTAATGATAGATTAACCTATTCCACCCCTCAATCTGTGCCAAATCCACAGAACAGCGATTTATTTGATGCCATTATTCCGGACATACTTCCGTCATGTGATAACGATTTGAAACAAAAAGCATGTGAAAGGGGATAATGTTCCCTTTGCAATATCACATTTTGAGTTTTATACTGGTCCATCGGATATTATCTTTAGAAAGGGGCGAAATATTCTCGGAAATATTGACGCTTTGTCACTAACTTAGATCAGTTTGAATCGCGACACGTTTAGATATTAGGGGGCATTATCCCCTTCCATTTGATTTTTGTTTGAACTCACTCACATGACGGAAGAATGTCCAGAATAATGGAAGCAAATTAGTCGCTGGGCCATGGATTTGGCTGAGATTGAGAGGGGTGTCGAAAGAATTGAGATTTTTTACTTGTAATACCACTAGAGGTCAAATTATTTCCGGAAATTTTTTCGAGATCAGATAATTTTCGAAATATTCATGAGCGAGAAAAAATCCCCGGAAAGGAATTTGACCTCGTGTGGTATTAGGTAAGAAAATTTCACACCAGATTGTGTTTGGAAATTGAATAATTTTAGAATTTATTTGTTCATTCGATTTGCATACAGGTTCATGAATACATTTAGTTTGGGTCGCAGCTTCAGCACCAATAAGATTCCTGATTTCTACCGATTATATTTGCATGAAAATACTAGCTAAAATGTAACATATTATATTCTTCCATTTTATATTAACTTCGGGATACTACAACTGATAAGAAATTATAATTTTGTCAATTAATTATGCACTAGTAGTAGTAGAGAAAAGAAAGGGGAGGCGGTCGCCTAGCAAGTAGGCCCCAGTGAGCCTTTTTTGCCGACCCCTGCTGCACACGTCATGTGCACATAATATCTACTAATCCTACTCCTAATTCTCCTTTTCGAACCTCTGTGGACTTCTGATGAAGGTCAGTATGTCCGTCCACCTTAGTAATTTGATCTTCCTGTTGAAACGGATCAGTACCAAAGATTTCGAATTTTAGTCTTCCATAACGCCTTACACTGGCCCAGGTAGTGGTATGACATTCTGTATAATAGATGCAGTTAGGACATCAATTTATTCTTAGCCTATATCAATTGTTGATTTCTACCCAATTGAAGTGGCACAAAATCACAATTTTAGACATCAAAATATTATTGTCATTAAAACGTCATGAAAATTTTTCTGATTTCATACGCTGGTGGGTACATGGTGGGTACCCACGAGAAGAAAATGTCTACTAAAATAATACGTTGCTATGTTAATTTGTCATAAAAACCCAATTCAACTGTATAAAAATCACTGGTGTGGAATTTTCCATTCAATTCATTCTCGTTATCAGATCGCGAAATTGAGTGCAAATTGCCGCACAGGAAAGTGTAATTTTTCATTAATTTTGCTCAGGACAGTGATTGGCACAGGTGCCGTTCGATGAAATACAATGTTTTCACATGCCTTTGGGATATATATCATTTCGTTTTTAGATGACGGTCGAAATTTGCAATCGGGTCTTGGACTAATACTGAAACAACATTCTTATCGATTTAATTGCACGCAAAATATGTACACCCTATTATGTAGATCGGAACGTCATCATGCACGTGCTATCCATGCATACTTAATAGTTACTTTAGCGTATCTACAAAAACTGGGAGCTATATTTATCAGCAATGAATAGATATTTGGAAATCTCGTTAGCAAAATGTGAACTTCAACGCTTTATCTCAATAAACGAACCGTTCATGAATAGTATATTGTACAACTAGTGCGGAAAATGAGTTTTTTCATACGAGTTCGTGACAAGATGATGAATCACGAGCCGTCGGCTGAAATAACCAGTTTCGGCACGAGTTTTACACTATACTTTTCAGATGACCTACCTGAAATATAAAAATGTTACACAGTACCACTACCTTGGATTAGCTTTTCACATTGTTTTTTACTTTCCATGCAAAGACATTATTATACGACAAATCATACTTTGTGTATTGATTTATCTGGAAGCAATCCTTTTGTCGTTTATTCGATTGCTTATTCCTGGATTTCTGGGGGAGTATAGAATCTTATATTTCATCCGTCGGATGAAGATTCCATGAATTGTTACAGAATCAAAAAAACGTTGCGGAACTTATAAGTAGATATTCACTCAATAAATAATATGTAATTGAATTAAATTTGAACTAGGTACTATACAAATTGACCTAGTTTTAAGCTTTGCTTTGTCAATAAGAATTTTTATTCTTCCGATAATAGAGCGTATTTTGATTGATTGATTGATTGATATAACAATGTGTAGAAACTGACAGTCATTAACTGATTTGTAGATTTGTCATTGTCATAGCTGCTTATACTGAATAACACCGAAAAAATTCAAGGGGTTATTCCAAGACTCGTTCATCCAAGGAACAGCGAGTCTCTGGAACACATTGCCAAGGGAGGTGTTACCCGAGGCATATAACCTCCAGAAATTTAAGAAGAACACCATTTCTCGATTGTCTTTTCATCAATTTCAATGAAACGTTGTGGTTTTGCTAATAGTAATATGGAGCTTCTTCTAGTGCAATTGGATTCGGAATCATATTTCCAGTGGCGTCAGAGTGGGTAAATTTATCGATATTCATGGTGAATGTCATTGTACACCACCAGGTATTCTGAGTTTTATATTTTTATTAGATTGAACTATTTTATAAGCACATTTTTTATCCTCTGTGTGATTTTTCTACAGTAGCATTAAAAAAAAAGTATAGAAGTATATTAAAGAGAGAAATTAACTTCATACTATTCTGCATAAAACGGGCTATCGGGAATGATTGTTCACCAAATGTTGACAGTAAAGTTGTCATGTTCTCGAAAACACAAAGCATTGGCTGACTCAGTTTTACACAACTAGAACTAGGATCCCGAAATCCTCTCTTTTTAATAATTGTACGCTTTTTTATTGAGCTTAGTTTTTGAGGAAACAATAAAAATTCAATTTGACTCCAAATTTTAATGTAGGTGTTTTCAAGACTTCCATTGAGATTACTCAATAACCCCAATCAAGGAAACACCCCATGAATTTTTCCGGTGTCATAAATTCAGTACGAATTGAATTAGGTATACTCGCCATTTAATATAGGATTTGTGCTTTGGCGAACATTTTCGAAATGACCTAGTGCGAAATGAAATGAGTAGTACGAAATACGTATCATTTAGTGCCGTTTTTTAGTGCTAAATAATACGTATTTCAAGTGGATCGTCGGAAAAAATATTTTTTCATCAAGTTTTATCGATTTCTGGAGTATCCAGTCATTGAAACTTGATCATCTTGTATATTGGTATCATTCGTCGCTGTCAATGATGATTCATTTCAATTACTTCGTATTCACATCATATCCAAGAAAACCAACATTATCATTAGAGCCGTTTCCTTCCAGTTAGAACTGTCAATTTTTCAATTATAATTAAACGGCGTACTGTACCCCTAATTACTATAGTTTTGCGCAACGTTATAATCGGAATGACCGACCCAGGCGCAAGGTGAGTCACTTTATGGACATTCCGCATTCTTAGTCGTGCTGGGAGCATATTTTCTCCAAAAAAACTTATCTATAATAGATTACATTGGTATAATAACTCACTTTAGAGCTTCGAAATTATCTAACAATTGTTCACTTCACTAGCTTTTCGCGGGCCCATGACACTTCGCCGAATGGACACGTCGCCGAATTTTCGGTCAAAACTCCGAAACCAGGTACGAACACTTTGCCATGTTCAAAAAGACAATTCAGCATAATGAGCACAATAGTGATGTGTCCAAAGACTTATTTTGACAGTATTGAAAAGGAATATTTTCAGATATATTTTGAACATGAAAAAATGGATATATATATATATACATAAAGTAATAAATTGAGAATTCGCTTTCTCTGGTGTGAAAATATTAATTCTTTCTCAGTATTTCCAACAGAAAACAGAGAAAAGATTAATGTTACCATCACATAGAGAATGCGTATTCTCAATTTATTCCGTATTATATACAGGGTGGCATTGAAATAAGTGCAAATATTTCAAACCCTGAGAAAGCTCGACGTATACGACGTATACTATCGAATGGCACCAATAAAAAAAATACAGGGATCAAAATAAAATTCGGGGTTATACTCCTTTTTCCACCCAAAGTTCTTCACTGTAGTATTTCTGACGTCACCTCTGTTCCAATTTCCACGCGTTCAATCATTTAAATTGGCCTATACTTGATTTTTTTCGCGTCTTTGGTTCAATTTTCGGGATGAAATTAATTAGAATAATTTAGACTGTATCATATTGATGTGCTGAATATCTGTACTTATTTCAAAAACACCTCAACAATTTTTTCATGTTCCTAATATAACTGAGAATATTCCTTTTCAATACTTTCATACCCAATCAAGAGGTTCAAACTTGAACGATGGAAACTTGTTATTTTCCT